TAGTCTTCCTTGTCATTGGAATCAGCTAAGCAGAGTCATATAGCTACTTAAGTATGAATTGTGATTGACCTATGATTTTCTGACATTGTCTTAAATCCTAGTAAACTGCCTCTGGTGTGAAGAGGTCTAGGGGAGGCCGGAGAGCGCAAGACTATTAGCTCTCCTACAAAGATATTATTCAGTGCTTTGTTTGAACTTCAGAAAAAAATTTTGAGATCTGAAAAAACTGTATAATTAGATCTGTTGCTGAAACTTTACCCTAAATAAGCAGGATGTATTAGAAATGTAATGTTATTAACCTAAGAAATGCCAAATTTATTTGACTTGCCAGCTTTAAAAGTTCAAAGTATAAATTGAATTAGGAAAAGTTAATTGCAGTAACTAGATGCCTAGAATATGGCAGGCTAACTGTATTATATGTGTTAAGAATAAGCAGTAATGATCAAAGATCTCAAGGATTGATTTATTCTCATTTGTCAGATGAAAAAGTATGTAATGCTTACACTTAAAAAAATTATTTTAAGTCAGTGATACAGTATTTTTTTAAGTCAGTTTTTCTAAAGTAATGTTTAATGTAACATATGAAACTTTTATATTTGATTTGTTTTGTTTTGCTTTTCTCACATGCCATTGTTGTTGAATTTGGGCTTGTACCTGCATCTTGTATTTTGTTTAAACTTTGGGAATCATTTTTGGTTTCAGTCATGTGTATCTACTTTATAGATTTAAGTAGACTTCATCACAAAGGTTTATAATTTATTTAGAATTGTGTTAAAACAATGTGAAAACAATTATTTGTATGATTAACCCCCCGAGACTGCTTGGACAATTTTCACCGATGTTCTGCAGGGGGGAGTAGAGGGGCTTAGAAATGTAGATAAATCTATATCTGTAGGGAAAATGTGGCATTTTACATTTCAAGGTGGCTGTTAGAGGCCTGGGAACAGGTACTGGACCTGCTCCCTCCTCCCTTGCCTTTTCTTTAAAATTTGAGGCATGGTTATGTATTTTTGAAAGATAAGATTTTTATAAAAATTATAAAGAGTATGTCCTGACAGGTTAGCTAGGAGAGGCAAGCCTTTTAGTTTCCTGATGGGCATGGGGGCACCCTATTTAGTCTTGAGAGAGCCAATAGGACCCGTACATCAGCCCAGGAAGCCACCGGACAAACTGCCTGTTTTCCTTGGACATCAAGAAGGACTGTGGTCCTCGGAAGGAACACGTACTGGGGGAATGCAGCTGTTGAACTGGTCCAAAGTGGAACAACGGATCTTTGAGGAGCTAAAGAAGGCTCTCATCTCAGCAGCTGCCCTAGCCTTGCTGGACGACGCGGAGCCCTTCCACCTCTACGTGAGTGAGGTAAGAGGCATTGCCAAAGGGGTTCTCACTCAGACTCTAGGCCCCTGGAAGAGACCTGTTGCCTATCTGTCTAAGTCGAGACTGGACCCTGTGGCAGCAGGGTGGCCAGCGTGCTCCCAGGCAATGGCCACCACAGCATTGCTGGTGAAGGAGGCAGATAAGCGGACTCTGGACCAGGAGCTAACCTGGATGGGTCAGGCTTTTCTCCTGGCCATCAACCCTGCTGGCCTGCTTCAAGATGATGATGATGGAACCCATTCATGACTGCACAGAGGTAACAGACGACAAGGTACTGTTCACGGATGGGAGCAGTTATGTTTAGGATGGGATCTGATATGCAGGGGCAGCGGTAGTCACCCTGGACCACACCATTTGGGCACAGCTCCAGAACTTTTGGCCTTAATCCAGGCCCTTTGATGGAGACACTGTGCCATCCACAGAGAAAAGAGGGTTACCAACTGCAACCAGAAGGAATTGGCTGAACAGAAGCAAGCCACTGAAGGACCAGATGGTTGATGACAAGACTGTTGGTCCCAGAGGCTCTAGGTCAGAGTTGCCCGGTGACACCAGGTTAAGTGTCACCAAGACTCCTGAACTTCTGTGAGGTAGAGTTGCTAGAAGTACTGTCTGTGCACAGGTAAATGCTAAGCAAGGTAAGGGGATCCCCCCTGGGAATTCAGGTCCCAGGGAACCTCCCCAGGAGAGCATTGGTAGGTGGATTTCAGAGATTAAACCACCAGCATTAAGGTCTAGTTTTTATAGACACTTCAGATTAGGTTGAGGTGTACCCCACTATCAGATAACAGCCCCACCTTGGTAGCTAAGGTATCTCAGAGTATAGCTCTAGCCTTAGGACAGGTAGGTGCGACTCGGGAGGAAGGGGGTTTAACTAAATGTGTCTTAGAATCGGTGAAAATTGGACCAACCCCCTGTCCTTTGCCCTCTTGAGGGCCAGGTGTACCCCTTACTGGGACAAGTTTCCCCTTTTTGGGAGGGGATCATGTATGGTAACCATTTCCTTGCTCAAGTCCTTACAGGCTCTGCAGTTTGCTTATTCCAGATGCACTGCCAGTGCCCACCGCAGACCCTGTAGCCCCGGAACTCAATGTGGGTAAAGAAATTTGCTGCCCAAGGACTCAAAGGGATGCTGCACTTTATCCTGAGCATGCCCACTGCTGTTGAAGTAGATGGCACCCAGACCTGACTACATGACTCCCAGCTCCTTCATGGCCTGGATCCTGGCAACTACAGGCCAGGAGGAGAACTGGTGCCTGCAGGAGGGGAACTGGACTTCAGTGAGGACAATACTGATGGGAACTGTGGTACTAAGGGTCTTGATAACTGTATTTGTTGTTTATGCTGAAAGGAAGTAGGCTGCTGAGTCAATGATTTGACTAGGCACATTAGACAAGGGGGGAATGAGAGGGCAGGGCGGGGCGAGGATGAGCTCCCAACTCCGCCCCAGCGGAGTCATCCCTAGCCCTCAAAACCCCTGGACTGAGAGAAATTCGCTCTCTTCCGCCATGCTGCCGGCGTGAGTGGGGGAGCCTATGCTAGCATGGTGAAGGCTCTTTTGCTTATTGCATCGGACTCGGCTCCCTGGTGGTCCTTGGGGATCACGAAGTCTGGGCATAACATATATATATATATGAAAATGGAGCTGAAACCAGTTTGGCTCAGTAGATAGAGCATCGGTCTGTGGACTGAGGGGTTCCAGGTTTGATTCCGGTCAAGGGCATGTACCGTATTTTTTGGACCACATAAGACGCTCCGGACCATAAGACGCACCAGTTTTTAGAGAAGGGAAATGAAGAAAAAAAGATTCTGAAACAAACAGTGTCCTAAAATATTTTATGCGCATTAAAACCCAACATCACAGTCATAAACACATGTAATCAACCCTGTAAAGTAAACAGCAGCATTTAGAACCATTTTAGAGCTGGGCAAGCACACAGAGACCACACAGAGCCGGGCAAGTAAAAAAACATTTTTTTTAAAGTATATGTGTAGGCTATATTTGGACCATAAGACGCAGGGACTTTTCCCCCCACTTCTGGGGGGAAAAAAGTGCGTCTTATGGTCCGAAAAATACGGTACATTGGTTGTGGGCACATCCCTGGTGGGGGTGTGCAGAAGGCAGCTGGTCGATGTTTCTCTCTCATCGATATTTCTAGCTCTCTATTCCTCTCTTTTCCGCTCTGTAAAAAAAATCAATAGAAAGAAAATGAAAAAGACATCAGGTGGGAGGAAAGCCAAAACAGAAACCATGAGAAGCAGACACCCCGGAGGAGGGCTACCCGCCCTGTGGGCCGATGCTGCAAGGAAGGCTGAGCACTGGCAGCTGGGTTTGCTAGAGATCATGGGACAGACCAAAGGTGGCATGGGGAAGTGGGGCGAACCCTGGATGTGGTGGGTTCATGCGGACAGGGAGGCACATTCTACAGTTCCATGATCTCTGGCTTCAAGTCCAACACTATCACCAGCACATCCCTGACTCTAGTTCTTGCTTTAACCATTTTCTTCTGATGGACTCTGAGCCTGTTTCCTTAATCCATCCACTCTTTTCTCTCACTGCAGCTGCTCTAGACACCTCCCCTCTCTTCAGCTCTATGTCCCCTCCCACATCAGAGAGAGAACCCACTAAGGAGGAATGTGTGTCCCGACTGAACCCCACAGGCCAGCCTCTTCCTCCACACTCCCTGCCAGGTCCCGCCTGAGTCTCCTGAGGCCACTGGCCCGGAATGGAGGGAGCCCCGGCACAGCTGCCGCCTGGCCCCCAGGCTCACAGGGCACTCCATCCTGTTCCTGTCGCCTCCGTGTTGTGAAAGCTGCTGTCTGAAATTTCCCACTAAACACAGAGGGTCCTTTGTTCTGTGAATTAACTCCACTATTCTTGGCTTCTGTAAACACGCTTGCTCGAATAATAGGGAAAATAAGCTCAATTATCTGGCCTGTGGGCCGCTCTGAGTTAGCTCTGCTGCCGTAAGGGTCTGGTCCGCCCCTGGTTCCTCCCATGCCAGGTGTCTTAGTTATCTGAACGTGATGTGCTCAAGGCTACAAGCGTCCTGCAAAATATCCCCAGCACACAGGGCTCTTTGTAAAGCCTGAAAGGCCCGGAAGCCCCACGTTTGGGAGACAGAGACCGGGAGGGTATGAAGGGAAAGTCCCTCCATGTTGCTTCGCTCAGACTCTGGGGCCACTCCTCTGAGACCCGGCGTGATAAGGACTCCACATGTGGCAGACTAAGCGTCCTTGCTCAGCTCGCTGGTTTCCAACATAACAGTTCCATCAGGCTTACATGTATGAGAGGTCACTGGGGAGATAAGAAAAGAGTGCTTTAAAGAATATATTTTATTGATTTTGTACAGAGAGGAAGGGAGAGAGATAGAGTTAGAAACATCGATGAGAGTCATTGATCAGCTGCCTCTTGCACACCCCCTACTGGGGATATGCCTGCAACCAAGGTACATGCCCTTGACCGGAATCGAACCCGGGACCCTTCAGTCCCCAAGCCAATGCTCTATCTATTGAGCCAAACCGGTCTTGGCAGAAAAGAGTGCTTTAAAGAGAAGAAACCCCTAGTACCCACAATGCCCTCCGGAGCACATAAACCATCTCTCCTGACCAGTTCTGCCATTCACCTTTGCATCATAAAGATGATCTGTAAACTCCTCACTCTGAAGGAGTTTGTCAGTATTGTCTTGGCAAAGCACCTGGAAACAGTCAAAGCAGAAGCAATTTAGACGTCGTTTCCCTGTTGCCACTCTGGTGAGCAGGAATTCGGCACTCCAGCCCACTGGTCCTGCCGCTCCTCTAGCCGTGCTCCGTCCTCCCTCCGCTACTCCAGCCGTGCTCCGTCCTCCTTCTGCGAGATTCCAGCCGTGCTCCGCCCTCCCTTTGCCTCCTTTATTTTGAATGGTGTTGCCTCAGCAACCACTGTCGCCAGGAGAGGCAAGATAGTGTCACCGCCTCTGCTCCCAGCAGCAAGTGAGAACTAACCTTGGGAAAGGTAACCCACCCAGCTTTCCCCTCCGGGCCCGTGGTACTCTTCGGGGTCACCGGCGTTGGCAGCAGCAGCAGACAGGACGGCACAGCAGGCCCTATTCTGCGCGGAACAGCTTGGATGCCATGCGATGGAAACCCGGCACACAACGCAGCAGTGCTGCCGGAATTGTGTCCCGGGAACAGGCACTCAGTCCCACCCCCACAGCCCAGGGCAGGCAACGTAAGCAGAGCCCAAATTCTAAAATCCTCAGCACAAGCCCAAGACCCCTGCTGCCTTTGTACTGGGAGAGTCCTGGGCTTGGTAAGCTCCCTGCTTTAGAGGCAGGAGGTGAAGGGAGACAGGAGTTGATGCTTCCAAGTGAAGACAAAGAGACTTGGCCTCCCTGCCCCCATCAGGGGCCCTCTGGCCCTGCTGACACATTCTCCCCATGTTAAGTGAAGGTCACGGCCAGAGACCAGAGACCAGAGAGGGCTCAGCTGGCCGGTGCCAGAACCCTGCCTGCTGCTTCTGGAGCACTGCCGGAACCAGTCTGCACAGCCAGCTGCCGTCCTCCACAGCTTCAGAAGGTCACCCTCAAGTTCATAACAGAAATAGAACTAGGTGCACATTCTTCTCCCAACGCATAGAATAAACCCAGATACCTGCTATCCCGGTGCCTCCTCCGAGGACCAGAGTCCCCAGCCCCCAGGCCTGTCCCTTGCCCTCAGCCACCTCACCCTGTGCCCTGGAAGAGCAGTATTCCTGGGCGTTGCCAGCTCAGGAACTCGGGGAGTCAATAGCCCTTCCCACTCCCACGGCAGGGGCCGTGGCACTTTAATGGGCAGTTATTTGTTGAGCTGGGGCACAGCCTGCAGAGGGGAGGAGGGGGTGGTGCCAAAGCATTGCTCCTACTATAATCTCAGTGTGCACCCCACCTGCCCTGATGCCCCAAAGCAGACGCACTCATCCCCCCCCTCCTGAAAGCACTCAGCTGGGCGGAGGGAGGCAGCATCGAGGACCACAGCGGGGGGGGGGGGGGGGGGGGGGGGGGAAGGGGGGCCCTTCGGCGGGCCCGCCTTCCCCTCCCCCTAGCCCCGCTGAAGCAAGTCAGGCTTCAGGGAGAGGGTGTGAGAAGGGCTAGGGTTGGAGCCCTTGTTCAGAGGCGCTGGCAGCGATCCAGGTCTCTGGAAAGTGGTTTTGATCTGCTTCTGACTGGGCTTACTCACAACGGCAAAGCAATTCCCGGGCAGCAGGCTGAGGGCGGATTCAGAAGATCACGCACTTAGCAGGGCCACTGCTTGCTTGGCCAGCCTAACATCCTTCTTCCCCTTCGTAGGTTTCTCTTCCCAAAGCCTGTGGTCTCCTGGAAGTCAAGTGGCGAAACGCCGAGGCCCACACCCGCCTTTGGTCACAGGCATGCTGGCTTTCCGCAGACGCCTGCTGCACTGCGGCTTGCAAGTCAAATGCTTCTGCTGCTCAGAAAAAGCCTGTCTTCTGGTCCTGGCTGCTCTGCCGCTCTGGGAACATGATGGACAGAAACGCAGCACAGGAAAGAGGGCCCCCAGCCGCCCTTCGCGCACTCCCTTCTCTGACTGCACACGCACGCTCCCACGCTGCTTACAAGGGACCGTGAGGAAGGTAGTATGTGCTCGGCCTTTTATTCCACCAGCTGTGCCCACTGAGAGATGCCATTCTGTGCGCCCTCCCCTTGTGCCGAACCGAAACCTAACATTGTCACAGGTAACAAAATGTAAAAAGAGCTAGCCAGGCTTGATGGGTCTGAATGGTCGGAGCTATTAACTCATTGTCTAGTTGAGATAGTGGTGGTTGAGGCAATTTTAATTTGTTAATCATGTGTAAATATAAGTTGATTTTCTGTTGTTGGAACTTCCCACCTAAGAGATGTCTTTGTTTCAGAATCTCAATAAAAGGAATGGTAAAAGGCCAGAGAGCGGTTAGTCTTCCCACTGGAGGTGGACTTCCCACCTGGTCCCCACTTTCCAAAATTAACTCTTTTCCAGACTCTCTCTTCATTTTAGTGTGCGGCCTTCTCCAGAAATCGGACCCTGAGTGGGCCCTGAACCACGCGGGTCGTGTTAAGGGATCCCGCACTCTTGTTTAACATTTATTAAATCACACTGCTTAGATTTCCTACAGATAGTATTTATAATAATTCCTTAAAAGTTACATGTTAATTGTTAACAAAAAAAACATTGAAACCTGTAAAGAATTTTTTTGTGAGTTTGAGCCTTACTGTCAACATGTGCTGGGAAGCAGAACCTCAACAGATTGAGATAATGCTCTGGAGAATGGCGGGTTACATTTCTAAATTTATACATTGCAATTCATTGGTGATATATGTGAAAGAAAAGAGCCACAAGCTAACCTGACAAGCTCAGGGAAGGCCTGTGTGGCAGTCTTGCAAACCCAGAGACCTAAGGTAACCACAAAAGATGGTTTGAAAATTAATATCTAACAGGTTATAGTAGGTAGTCATGTCCCAGATATTTTCCCAAAGATCAACTTTGATCTTTTTACTGAGCCCATTTGCCTTTTTGCCTCTAAGATAACATATCTGTGAGATATCTGGGTAACTTGTAACTTCCCTTTTTCCGGAGCCCCTGGGGAACAACCAAATGTGGTGGGTGCCAGGACAGATGCCTCAAATTCCTTTGTTATCATGTTAATTGTTCCTGAGTACACATCCATCATTTTACTTTTTATCCAATCCCAGGAGTTTCCCATCACTTTGCTTTCTCCCGCCTCCTTACTCCATCACCAATGGATTTCATGTAACCCACCTATGTCCCTCCTTTGATTTCAGTGTATAAATAGAGAAATGTAACTCGCCATTCTTCGGAGCATTATCTCAATCCCTTGAGGTTCTGCTTCCCGGCAATTGTCGACAATTTTGGCTCAAATAAACTCATTAAAAAATTCTTTACAGGTTTCAATGGTTTTTTCGTTAACATATATTATATTAGGGAGGTGGGACAGAGCGAAGTGGGGGGGAGAACCTCTGGGATAGGGTAAAAGGTTAAATGATGGACGTGAGCTTCTTTACAGAGATGGATACAGGATACATAAGGTAATTAACAGTTGACAATTAACTTGATAACTAACAATGAGGGATGTCTCCAGGCCATTTGTTGTGCCCTGAGGGGTCCAGGGTAAAAAGGAAGTTACAAGTTACCCAGACATCTCACAGATATGTTATCTCAGTAAGAGATCAAAGTTGATCTTTGTCAGGTGAAATATCTGGGACATGACTACTACTATAACCTGTTAGATATTTAATTTTCTTTTTTTTTTAATATATTTTATTATTTTGTACAGAGAGGAAGGGAGAGATAGAGAGCTAGAAACATCCATGAGAGAGAGAGTCATCGACCAGCTGCCTCTTGCGCACCCCCTACTGGGGATGTGCCCGCAACCAAGGTACATGCCCTTGACCGGAATCGAACCTGGGACCTTTCAGTCCCCAAGCCGAGGCTCTATCCATTGAGCCAAACCGGTCTCGGCTAGATATTTAATTTTCAAACCATCTTTTGTGGTTATCTTAGGTCTCTGGGTTTGCAAGACTGCCACGCAGGCCTTCCCTGAGCTTGTCAGGTCAGCATGTGGCTCTTTTCCTTCACATAATGAAGTTACTCTATATTCACTGGAGTAACATGATAAAGAAATCTATGGGAAATTCTTTTGGGATGAGAAGTCAGCAGCCTGCCCTAGTCTTGGTTCAGGAACCGTGTAAATTTAGGTAATGTTTGTAGGTTTCCTTACATGTAAAACGGTAATTTTGGACCAGATGATTTCAGGGCTCCTTAACAGATTTAAAGTATCACTAAAATGTTTTGACATATTATTTGATATTTTCTTGGTAAAAGATATACCTGTATTCCTACCCTGAAGAATGCTTGCAAAGTTGTTTATTTTTTTCAATGATAAAATAGACTCCTGAAAGACAAATTGAAACTATAGATGGAGAGGGCAGGGATAAACTCTGGACTCCACTGTGGGGCAGGGCAGAGCTATCCTCCATTTTGTGTAACGACCCTAGCCCTCACCCAACCAATCGGGGTCAGCCAAAGCAGCGACATCACCACCGGAGTAGAACCCGGGCTTGGTGAAATTCGCGCTCTTCCGCCATGCTATCGGCCAGAGTGGGACAGAGCCCATGCTAGCATGGAAGAGGCGCTTTTGTTTATTGCATCGGACTCCCTGGTGGTCCTTGGGGATCACGAAGTCTGCGTGTAACATAGATAATAGGAAGAAAACAGGGAGACACTCATAGAACCACTCCCTAGAGATTACCGCCCTGACCTTCCTCCCTTCCCTCCCCACTCCCTCCCCCATCAGCTAGGACCCTCCACAGACAGACAGGAGCTGCATCAGGTTTGCATGTTTGGACCCAGCCCCATTGCTCAGGGCCCTGCCCTGCAGAGACCTGACATTCTGAGGGAACTGATCACAACTGCAGCTGGGAAAGTTGTCCATATTCCCAGGTCACGGATGGCAAAGTCACCACTTGCACTAGCCAGAGGCTTCTGCTCAAGCAGCTGAAGCCGACATCAGGGATGGGGACTGAGTTCTGGTTTCTCTTCCTTCAGAAGACGGATGTTCCCAGCAGTGGAAGGCATCCCGATCTTAGATGCCAATACAGCCATGACAATAACAACCACCAATGAGAGGGAAACCTGGACTTCCCCCACACCAGCCAGGGTCCTAACAACTGGCCCCCGGAAGACACACACGGTGATGTCACCCTGAGCAAACTTCCATCATGCAGACTCCGGCAGAGGCACAGGAAAGAGTGTGAGATCCCATTCTTAGTATTTAAAAGGACAGAAACAGAATAATAAAGGCGGGAATACCAGTTCTAAGTTCTCCCCTCGTGAGATTTCTAATTGCTCTGCCCTTTCTGCAGCCCCTGGCTGTCACAACAGGACAGACACCAGGAGCAGTCACTGTGGCCCAAGACCTCCGTGTCAGTGGAATGACTGCTGGGCCAACAGACTCCTCCAGCTGAGTCCCTCACAGCTGGGGAGCCAAAAGGACTTGCCAGTGTGCTTAGAGTGAGCTGCATCATGTGACAAGGGATTATGGGAGAGCCCTTAGGGACCAAATGCATCTCCCCTTCTCATTCTTTGCTGAAACCAGAGAAAAGTTATTCAACTGTAAAAGCAGATTGCGATTCACAGCAGTCAAGTCCTGCCTGCAACTGTGAATGCAGACAAGCTGGAGAGGAGTCCCCGCACACACACATACTCACACACTCACACACTCGCTCACATACACACACACACACACACACACACACACACACTTCCTCACATACACACACACACTCTCTCACACACTCACACACACGCTCACACACACACACACTCTCTCACACACACTCTCACACACACACACACTCCCTCACACACACGCTCACACACACACTCCCTCACACACACACTCTCACACACACACACACACACTCCCACACATACACACACTCTCACACACACACTCACACACTCCCTCACACACACACACTCACACACTCCCTCACACACACACACTCACACACTCCCTCACACACACACACAGCCACAACCAGCGGAGGGTCCATCCACAGCCCCAGAGGAGCTGCGTTTTCCAGGAGCTTAGCGGCCATGGCAGCCGGCACGGAGCACTTGGCACTAATGGGCTCCCTGGACCGCGGCTTCCGGAGACAGCAGGCTCCCTGCAGCTGGAGGCTGCCCTGAGACCAGCTCCAGGCTCCACCAACCCGCACCCGTGAGGATTCCCGTGCTGGTTTCCTGTCACACAGTCTAGAACATATATTTAAATGGACAAAATGACAATAGCTAGCCAGCCGGCTGCTGCTCTGGGCCAGGCCAGTTCTGAGAGCTCCGTCAATCCCCGGGACAGCCAGCATCGTCCTCGGTTGACAGACGAAAGCCAGGAAGCGCAGGGAGGCGAGGCCACAGCTACGAGCGTGGGCTCAGGGGCTCGTGCGGGGCTCGGACACCCGGTGCGGGGGCTGCAGACCGCTGTGTGCCGCCGCCAGAGCGCTCCGGGCGGGGAGGGCCCGGGTCCGGACAGGAGGCCCCCGCCGGGCAGCGCGGCGTGGGGAGGACACGGCGTGGGGGGGACACGGCGGAGGCCGGGCGGCGGGCTGGACCAGGGGCCTCACAAAGGACCCGGGACGCCGCAGCGCTGGGGCAGGGCCGGAGGGCGCTCCGCAACCGGCGGGCCCGGAGGCGTCGGACCCAGGAAGCCCGCAGCCGTCTGGGGCTGAGCGGCCGCCGCGGGCCTGCGGGGCCGGGTCAGGGCGTCCGGGGAGCCCGGCAGCCGTCGGGGCAGAGGCGGAGGGGCCGCCGGGGCCTCAGCCCATCGCGCCCCTCAGCGGGGCCTCACTTCGCAGAGCCCGGAGGCGGGAGGGTCTCCGCCCGGCTGCTGCCCCCCCGCCGCCCGGACTCCCCTCTCCTCCCGGGAGCGCAGGGCCGCTCACCTCGCTCATCTCGGCGGACGGACAGACGGAGCGGGCGGCACGTGCAGCGAGGCGTGGCCCTGCGGCGACGGCGGGAGTTGCGGGCTCGGCACGGCTGCGGGTGGGGCGAGGAGATCGGTGCGGGGCCTCCGCTCCCGCCCGGCTCGCTCCCTGCGGACCAGCCGGGCCCTCGGCTGTCAGGCTGCCGCCCGCAAGCACCCTCCGGCTCCCGCCGCCTCGGGCCCCGCCTTTTATGGTCAGCTCGGCCCCGCCTCCGGCCCGACCAATAGGCGCCTCCGCTACAGAGTGACAGCCCTTGCATCCAATGGAGGAAGGCTCCGAGGTCTCCCGCGGCTCCAACTAGGGTCCGGCCGTCGGTCGGAGCGCGGGAAGGAGGGGCCCGCCGCAGCCGCAGGGGAAGGCGAAGCCGGACCGAGGCGGGGAGAGGGGGGGAAACAGCCGAGGCAGCGGCAGAGCGGCGTGGAAGGAAAGCAAGAGGATGCATGGGATGCGGGAAGCAATGGAGGAAGGCGTGAAGGCGAGAGACATTGCTGACTGAGACTGGGGGGTAGGATAGCAATCGAGTGAGAGAAGGGCGTCAGGGGGACGGGGAAGGGACAGACCAACCGAGAGACGGAGGGGGGGCACGTGGACAGTTTTCTGGGGCCAAGAGCAGGGGATGGTCGGGTAGCCTGTTTGAGTTGGAAGTTCGTAGATCCCAGGAGTTGAAAGACATTTAGGATTCATCAATGCTACATCCCACATAGTGAAAAACAAACAACACACACCAACCAACCGACTAGCCAAACAAACCAACCTCCCCACCAAGGTTAATGAGCTCCTCCCAACAGCTTATTCGTTCAGTTTCAACAAAACAATGTGCCCTCCATTGTGCCAGGCACGCTGGTGAAGCTAAAAAAAAAAAAAAAAAAAAAAAAAAAAAAAAAAAAAAGATACCTTACGACTTTGCACCTATTGCACCTATTGTTAAAATAGCTTTCAAGCCCTGGCCGGTTTGGCTCAGTGGATAGAGCCTCGGCCTGGGTTCTATTCGGGTCACTAGCACATGCGTGGGTTTCCGGCTCGATCCCCAGTTGGGGGATGTATAGGAGGCAGCCAATCAATGATTCTCTCTCATCATTGATGTTTCTATCTCTCCCTCTCCCTTCCTCGCTGAAGCCAATTATATATATATATATATATATATATATATATATATATATATATATATATATATATATATATATTAATGTTTTCAATATGCAAGTTCCATGCCTTAGAGCAGGGGTCTTCAAACTTCTCTCATTATGAGAATCACCTGGTGGAGTTGTTAAAACACAGATTCCCGGATCCCAACTATAAGAAGTGCTATCAGGAATCTGTGTTTTAACACCTCCACCAGGTGATTCTCATAATGAGAGAAGTTTGAAGACCCCTGCCCTAGAGTCTTGCTTGTTTCTTTCAGCAGTCCAGGTAGCAGCCAATTTGGTGGTCCAGGTTTGAGGACCAACACTAGCCACGTGGACTCTGCCCAGGTGCAGGGACAGTTGTGAAAGATGAATCCCACAGTCCAACCTAGGCAGATCATTTTTAATAAGATGGAGCTTTAGGGAGGAGGGGGGAGTGGAGGGGATCAATGAGGAGGGGGCTGGGACATCTGTAATACCTTCAACAATAGAGATAAATTAAAACATAATTTACTAAATAATTACTGTGTTGTATAAGTTTTAAGAAAAATATGAATAGAGCAAGATTAAAAGAAACAGAATGGCTTGGCAAATGTCTGCTATTCCTGTTTATCTGAGTATCTAGCTTGCCTTCCAACTTTAAGGGAGCCCTTCCAGTTCTCTGGCTTGGGACACTCCTAAGCATTGCTCAGCCTCTGAGTCAGCCAAAGCCACACACTTTCATGGGACACCCTCTTGACAGATCCTTTCCTGAGTCCTTCACAGCTGAGCCTCTCTCACCCAGGACTACTGATCTCCCTCCACAGCAGCTCCAGGGAAGATCTCAGTGCCCTTTCTCTAGCGCCACCCTCTGGGCTGTACGTTTTCTCGGCCAGGTCAGAAACCAAGGAGATGGGAAAAGACCGGGTCTCTCCCCATCCACCTGCAGCCCTGACTCTCACTTTCCCATGGGAACCCGGCTGCCTAAGGTACTAAGTTTCTAAGTTGGGGTCTCTTACTCTTCTGGCTCCCCGCCTTTCTAAGGAATTGCTAATTAGCACGGGAAAGCTGTGAAACAGGCTCTCCACAGCTCTTAACCAGCTGTGCAAGGGGATAAAGGAGTTTGAGATCCTAGACCAGGGGTCTGCAAGCTTTTTCTGGAGCAGCCAGAGAGTGAATGGTTGATGGTCTCTGTTGAAACTCCAAGTCTCTCCTTACAGTTTATAAGCATAGGCAATATGTAAACCCATAGGTGGGGCTATCCTATCTAATAAAGAGGGAATGTGCTAATTGACCCTCACATTGTCACAAAGATGGCAGCACCCACAGCCAATAAGGAGGGAATATGCTAACTGACTGTTACACCCTCAAAGATGGCAGCACCCAGTCCCCTCAGCCCTGCCAGGCAGGCCAGGCCTTGCTGCACCTGCCTCCGGAGTCCCCCAGTCCCCTCAGTCCCACAGTCACTCAAGACCAGCCCATGGTGCAGGCAAGCCTCAGATGGTGGCTGCCCAGCTGCCCAGGGCTACCTGAGGCTCAGGTAACCAGGACTGGCCCAGGCTTGCACTGCTGGCAGTGGCAGTAGCAGAGGTGTGATGGGCTGTCACCTTCCCCTGATTGCCCATGAGGGTTCCCAGACTGTGAGAGGGGGTGGGCCAGGCTGAGGGAACCCCTCTAGTGCATGAATTTTCATGAACCAGGCCTCTAGTGTTTTAATAAAACTTTATCTGTGTCATTGACTCAGCCTACTTCCTTTCAGCATAAACAACAAATACAGGGATCCAAGATGGCTGCGCCCAGGTGAACACCTAGCCGCAGCAGCACACAACAATTTCAATAAAATACAACTAAAATATAAAACGGACATTGCCCAGAACTACAGGAAGGTTGTCTGACTGGAAATTCTACAGCGAGAAGCAAGGAGAAAACCAGAAGGAGGCGCGGAGGAGCTGGAAAAGCCCAAGGTACGGAGACGCGGCGCGCGGAGGACGGAGCCGGAGAGGAGGGAGGCTGAGTGCCTGGCGGGCGTTCCCTAGCGGAAAGGAGATAAAACTCCGACTGTGCTGGGCCCCCGACTGCTCTGAACCCCAGTTCTAGGCCAGACCCCGGGGACTCAGGCTCAGCCATAGGGAGCCGGGCTGTAAGGCGGAACCCCGGGGAAGTGGCGAAAGGAGGTCCCGGCGGCGCGCACACTGCGCACAGAGAAGGGCCAGTCGGCTGTGCCGCGGGATTGCCCTGACGGGAAGGAGACTGGGGCTCCAGACTGCTCTGAACACCACCTCCAATTCCACTTCCAACTGAACTGAACCCCAATACCGGGCTCATTGGGGGAGAGCATAGACTGTTTGGCAGCAGGCGAAAATCGAGGGCACCTTTCTCTCAGAGGAGCCGGCAGGCAGCGAGCACTGAAGGACCCGCATAGGGCGGTGCTGACGGAAGCCAAAGCTGCAGGCTCCATCCACCCTGAAACCCCGTCCCATCTGTAACTGCAAAATGAGACAACAAAATAGATCACAAACGAAAGAAATGGAGGACAAAAAGCGTCTGGATATAGAGTTCAAATCTACACTTATAAGGTTTTTTAAGAATTTTCTAGAAAAGATGGATAAGACCTATGAGGATATGAAAAGAGATCAACTAGAATTAATAAGGAGTCATCAAGAAATGATAAGGGATCAACAAGAAATAAAGAATATATTGTCTGAAATAAAAAATATTTTACAGAGTCCTAAAAACAGAAGGGAAGATCACAAGAATCAAGTCAAAGATTTGGAACATAAAGAACCAGAAGACACTCCTCCACAGAAGCTAGAAGGCAAGAGAATCCAGAAAATTGAAGATAATGTAAGAAACCTCTGGGACAACTTCAAGCGAACCAACATCAGAATTATGGGGGTCCCAGAAGATGAGAGAGAGCAAGATATCGAAAACATACTGAAAGAAATAGTGACAGAAAACTTCCCCCACCTGGTGAAAGAATTAGACTTACAAGTCCAGAAAGTGCACAGAACTCCAAACAAAAGGAATCCAAAGAAGACCACACCAAGACAAATCATAATTAAAATTCCAAGAGCAAAAGACAAAGAGAGAATATTAAAAGAAGCAAGAGCAAAGAAGGTAGTTACCTATAAAGGAGCACCTATACAATTGTCAGCTGACTTCTCAACAGAAACCATGCAGGCCAGATGGGAATGGCAAGAAATATTCAAGGTGATGAATAGTAAGAACCTACAGCCAAAGATAATCTATCCAGCAAAGCTATCACTCAGAATCGAAGGTCAGATAAAGAGCTTCACTAATAAATAAAAAAAAGCTAAAGGAGTTCATCAACACCAAACCAGAATTATATGAATTGCTGAAGGGGGTTCTTTCAGAAGAGAAAGTAAACAAATATAAAAATTATGAACAACAAATACGTAACTATCAACAAGTGAATCTAAAAACCAAGGAAATTAAAAAAAAAATCTGATGAACAATAGTAACTGTTGAATATAATAGAATCAGAGGTATGGAAGGGGAGTGAACTGACGATTCTTGGGGAAAAGGGGAGAGGGGGGCGTGGGAAGAGACTGAACATAAACTGTGCACCTATGGATGAGGACAATGGGGAGTGGGGAAAGGGCAGAGGGCGGGGTGGGAACCTGGTGGAGGAGAGCAATGGTGGGGAGGGGGGCGGAAAGGAACATTTGTAATAATATGAACAATAAAAACTTATTTAAAAAAAACTTTATCTGTGGACACTAAAGCATGAATTTCATATAATTGTCATGTATTATAAAATATTCTTTTTCTTCTTTAAAATTTTTAATTTAAAAAACATTATTAGTTCAAAGGCCACAGACCAGATGTGGTTCACAGGGCATAGACTGCCCACCTTGCCATAGGTGATTAAATGCCCAAGAACAGCCTTAGCTGGTTTGTTCCAGTGGCTAGAGCATCAAACTTGCTGACCAAAGTGTCCTGGGTTTGATTTTGGTCAAGGGCATGTACCTTGATTACAGGTTCCTCCAAGCACGAGCATGTACAGGAGGCAACCAATCGATGTGTTCCCTCATATTGATATTTCTCTGTCTTTCCCTTTCTCTTCCACTCT